CTTTGGCTTCCTTTCCATTCTATACATTTTGCATTATTAGTAGTTAGTCACAATAACCAAATCTATAAAGATGCAGCAAGGTGCACAAGATTAAACCCGGGAGAAACCAGTCATTTCTGAATGCAGTTAGCTGTGTCTAACTGTGGCCAATGATTTCAGCGAACTATTTTTTTTTAAAAAAAATCTCAATTGGCGTCTACAGTCACAATCCACAGAATTATGTGCACGCATGTGCATGCACAAAGGCAGAAAAGCTTCTCGAAAATGGTTTTGCACAGCAACCCTACCTGCCAAAAAGGCAATTTTTTTGGCTGATGGGAGCTGCTTTGATAAAAAATAGCAAAGGAAATGTTCATCTGTGCGATCAGTTCTTGCCTACACAAGCATACAGCTTGTAAAGGATATAACATAAGGTATTAGACTAATTAAGACACTTGTTTAAGCTCAAAACTGCATGACCTAGTAAGTAAGCATCATTATATACGTTACATAATCCAAAGTGCCCAGTGCATGAATGTATGGCATTTCTGATAATTTGCAGGGAGGGGTGAGAATCACCTGTTTTTGCCAACTGGTCCTAACTAGCCTTCCACCCACCACCACCCAAAACCAAAGATTTTTCAAACACTCAGGAGTGCTTCTTCAGTTAGCACAATGTTCTACATCAGAAATGTGGGTGGTGGCAGCAAATACGGCATGCCGCCGTTTGGATTCAAGCCAACATGTTCACAAAACATAAAATGTTCACAAAACATAAAATGTTGGATTCCAGCCAACATGTTCACAAAACAAAAAATATAATGTTGTTTTAACAAAAATTGCAGGACTAGACAACGAACAAGAGCTGTTATGCAAAAAAGTTAAAAATTACAACTTTAAAATGGAACTAAAAGCTGGCTAGAGCTTATACTGAACTCTCAATACTTCAAATTTATACAGAATGCTATTTTGGTGTAAGCACAGAAGATTATGGAAAGTGTTTTTTATTCCTAGTTTCAAATCATGGATCTAGTTGCTATTGAAAAGGAACAAAAAAAATACAAACTGAGCAGCTCAAAATAAAATTTATTATAATACAAAAGTGTATGTGCTGGAGATACATAAATAGCATACAGTGCAAATGAAAAAAATGGGACACATGACATATCACTTCAACTGAAGCAAAAGCATACAACACATGCCAAAGCAAAATCTAAATGCATTTACATTTCCAAAGGAGCATTAATGATGCCAACAAAAAAGGGAAAGGAAAAAGAAATACGACAAGTAAAATGCTTGAATATCAAGAACTGTTATTGCCGTGAACACAAATGTACATTGAGCTTTATTAAGAATATTTAGACAAAAGCATGCTAATATTCTATCAGCTTTTAATAACATATTCATGGTCTTGCTCATCTGACAAATTCCCCGCTGGAATGTAGCCACTGCTCTGTTTAACCAGACCCACTAATAAGCTGAGTTCACATTCTTTTTCTTAAAGTCATAGAGAGCATTTTCATACACGATGGTGTTGAACTTGAATGCAAAACCTACATTCGCCAGAATGTTCATTCATATGACATTTTCTTTTGCAGAGTTGCTCACATGGCTGGTTTTGTTTCACTTTCTGTGAACGCTGGGCTTGTCGTTACACACAAATCAGAAATAAATTTCAAATAATGAACGCTGGTCAAAGCAAAGCAGCTGGGTTTAGCCAGCCAGAGTTTAAAAATTTTAAATCAAGGTCTCCATTTCATACTTTCCGACCAGCCGGGATTAATAGAAAGTGAACTCAAATGCTGTAGAGGAGAACACACAAACCCGAGGCTTGAGCTTGTTTCAGCTCATGCACATAGCAGCGAGGCATGTATGAAAGGTTTTGGACAGTTGAGGTTGCTCGTTCATATTGGTCCAGGCATTATGGATTGCATCCAAAGAAGTCATCTCTTTTGCACAAGTCCCTTCTCTCTTCCTATGTCATTTCCCCCCACCCCTCCAAACTCTGGAGTATTGCAGAGAGGAGAGGGAGGGGAACTTTCATTGCACAAGCAGAAATTATTGCACGGACAGGACAACTTTGTGGAGTACAACCATAAGTTAGTAAAGGAAAGAGTTTAAATTGCTTTCAACTCAAACGCATTGAACCAATTATAGGGGCATGCGAAGGACACCAAAAGGAGGCCAAAGACCAGCAAATATTTTGTCATTAACTGAAACCAACAGCCCAGACAAGTCGTAACAGCGCTGATGGGTCAGGGAAGTGTCACCTCCATCACAAAGTGTGCTTCAAAGAAGCTGAAACCCATTCTCTGAGCATCACTTTCCATACCACATAAATAAATGTTTTAATGGACTCCCATGAGCCATCCTCCGGGCTAAACCTTGTGTAGGCTCAACTTTCTGAAAGTGTGAGGCCAATATGCCCAAGAAAACGGGGAGAAAAATATGGACAGGAGTGGAGGATTACACAGGCGAACACAAGTCCATGCTTCATCCTCTCTCCTCAGGAAGCATGCAGTGCAACAGAAATTTAAAGAGGACAGAATTGTTGTTATTATTATTATGAATTGCCACTCTCCGTTTTAGAGCAAGCCATCACAAGGCAGCTTATAACAGATGTGTAAACATAAAACAGTTGAACGCAAAAAAAAAAAAAAACAACCACCCCATAACAGCAGAAAATAAAATTATAGGCAGCCAGCAATATAGGGGGCAATCAAGAAGCCCAGCAGTATAAAAACCACCATCAGAGTTTGCTTAAAGACCTCAAGGGAAGGGGCCAAGCAGAATTCTCAGGGAAGGGAATTCTTTGAATACGGGGGCCGCTACTGACAAGGCCTTGTCCCTGATACTCACTGACCTTGATCAGCCTTAGTGGTAGGCCAGGAAGCAGGACCTGTGAGATCAATCTTAGGACCCAGGGAGATTCATGTAAGATATAGGAGGTCCTTCAAATAACATTTAAACTAAGCCTCAAAACAAATGGATAACCAATGTAAAATTGGTATAACAAACCACCTAGCCCCTACAAGCATTCTAGTGGCTGAATTTTGCACCAGCTGAAGATACAGTGGTGCCCCGCAAGACGAATGCCTCGCAAGACGAAAAACTCGCTAGACGAAAGGGTTTTCCGTTTTTTGAGTCGTTCCGCAAGACGAATTTCCCTATGGGCTTGCTTCGCAAGACGAAACGTCTTGCGAGTTCTTGCGAGTTTGTTTCCTTTTTCTTAAAGCCGCTAAGCCGTTAACAGCTGCTAAGCCGTTAATAGCCGTGCTTCGCAAGACAAAAAAACCGCAAGACGAAGAGACTCGCGGAACGGATTAATTTCGTCTTGCGAGGCACCACTGTACCAGATTGTCTTCAATAGGCCACCCTACCAATAGGAATGTGACGAGCTTGCACTGTAACACCTTCCAGTCCAAATACAATTATTCAGGTCATCCCAATCACAACAATACAAGAGACTCTGAGTGCCACATTCCACTCTCCCAACAGTTGTGCTGATTTATCATTCCGGACCCCATAGAATTTTTGCATGCTTTTTGGTTTAGGTTTATTTCATCTCCTGTGCTCTTCTTTTTAAAGCTTTAAGAGCACATCCCTGGCTTAGTGCATGGTCCTCTTTATTGCTGCTCAGGTTCATCAGTCACCGCATCTCCCACACAATGAAGACACCCATATTTGTCTGAGGGGTTGTTTGGATATTTTCCTTCCTTGGGATCAACTGGTGGTGGGTCTTCAGATTGCAACTCTCTCCTCTTTTAGAGAAGATGTCATGTTCAGAAAAATGCAGGGGCCTCCTAATTCATTTGGGAGGATGGCAGGTACACAAAACACCCATCCCTTAATTACAGATGCCGCCTCGCTCCCTTGCCCTCCATTCCCACTCAAAGGTTTGAATGTCCCTTAACTAGGACAGGGAAAGCATTATTTCACTCTTGTGTGATTCACCAACATGTTTTAAACTCACAAAGACAGACTTCAATACTCCAGATCTCCTAACGGTTTAGGAATAATCAATGTGCATTAAAAAGTTAGCCAGTGATTACATTGAGAAGTACCATACAAAATCAGACTCGCATCCACTTAATCCAGCATTCTTTTCAGGAATCCCAGTAGCCCAAAGGCGCTAAGTGGTACACAAGTGGATCATGGTCTACTTTCTTCATGGCTGGTTCTAGATCAAAGATGTAGGTTGCTTCCACACTAACCCTTTCCTCTGGGGTGGACGTCTCTTGTTCATTCAATTTTTGCAAGGAATCGGCACAACGCTGCTGTTAAATCATTGCAATCTAGTGTTTTGTGTTATCCTCCTGTGCTTTTCCCAGACCTGATTTGTTGTGGGGGTTTTGCTGTAAAATGCAATTGCAGCAACATCCTGTCAGTTGTGTACGAGCAATTCACTATTAGGACTTCTTAGGGGAACTGTACCTTTCACGTGAAAGCTTCCTGTTTGCAGGTTCAGACCGTTTTATTGCTTCCCCAAGTCAGCAGGTAGGGATAAACTGCCCTTTATTTAACCCCCCCCTTTTAAGGAGAGGTAGTGCTGGATACCTAATCTCCTCTCAGGACCATTGTTGTATTTACTGGGAGGGAGAGCTGGTGGTGAGGTTAGTGTTTTCAGGTACGTTGCCAGAACCAATCCTGTACTGGAACTGGTGCACTCACAAAGTGCTGACCCCTGACCCCCTCTCTTTTCCAGAAAGCACAGAAATGTCACTGACTGCACTTCTGTCCCCCACAAAAGGGAGGGAGGAAAGGGGTGTTGCTTCCCATTATTACTTTTAATCCCCTCTTTTATTTCATTATAGTGAACAGCACATCATTTGTCGTCCCAGAGAAACCGTAAAAGCATGCAAAAAAAAGCTGACAAGAGGATATCCATTCTTTTCGCTCTTTAGTATAGTGAAGCAGCAAAGACTTAAATTGGACACACACCCAGGAAACAGAACCTGACTAAAATTAAGGGGTAATTCATCACCGCTCTTTCAGCCACAAGGATCACAGAAGCAATGAAGGAGGTTGAGCTTCTGAACAGGAAGCTTTTAATTAACATTAGAAAGGCATTTGTTGAATGTAAATTTCCTGTGAGCAGACATTCTAAGAAGATATTGGTCAAGGGGAAACAGGGTTGCTAATTACATAGGAAGTTGACTTATACGAAGTCAGACCACCAGCTCATCCACCTCACTACAGCCAAACCTCTCTAGGAGTTTTCATACAAAAGCTCCAGATCTACCTGGAGGTGCCAGGATTTGAACCCAGCCCCTTCTGCATGTAAAAATTTGCAGACTATCACAAAGTTCCTTCCCCATGCTATGTTAAAACTGGAGGTTCTGAAAAGCGTTTAATACCACTTTCAGCGAACGGCAGAAAAGCAATGCCTCCGTGTGTTAAAGGGCTCTCAAATGTGAAACGCTTTCTTTCTTATTGCACCTATTGTTATTTATTTCTGGCAGAATCTAGAGTAATATATATATTATAATATATATGGAGTGTGTGTCTCTCAACCATTGGTTCTATCATTTTTCAGAAGTCAAAGGCACAACGCAAGCATGGTTTCCTAATATGCTGCTATTAGAAGATTAACGAACTTATCAATACTATTCTATACTTTGGTATATTTCAATATTCAATATATTTAAGAGTTGTTTAAACTAGGTTTCTACATATTGTTACATAACGACTGATACAAAGAATCCTATCACCTCCATTCATTTTCAGCCTTTTCCAATGTTGCACAAGTTGAATGAATGACTTTGCATATATTTGCTTGAACTGAAAGCAAATGAACCTGCTTCCAAATGTTTAGGATTAAGATACTAAAAGACAGAGAGAGAGAAAAATCTAACGGAGGATTTGTTTAACAGTCTGTTAAAATCTAAGCAAATTGTGACAACAGTAAAATTTATCCACTTATAAAAAATATATGATCCGGGTATTATTTTTTCTATATCTATTGTTCCATTTTTCTTTTGTAGCCAATATACCTTTGTGTTTTGCTGCACTGCAAATTTTTTGTTGTTTTTTTTAATACCCCATGAAATTCCCTTTTGAATTCATTCCTTAAGCATGATACAATTTCAAGTATAGGCCACACACATTTTCGTGCTTTATTTCCGCTTGCTTTCTGAAAAAGCGATTAAAAGGAATCTGCATAAAACCAGATACTAATCTTTGGTATCTCAGAGCAGTTATTTACAAAACACTGAAATCAAACCTAGCTTCTCTGGAACTGTGCGATCTAGAAAAACGGGAGCATGTTTAAAGATGAAAACCAACTCTCTCTGAAACTAGAGCCCATTTCTTTAGTTTTGCTCTCCTCGACCTTCCATTCTATACACTACAGTGGTGGAGATGTCCTCGTTTGCCTCGGGTGACACTTTTTTCCACACAGTCTCTTTTAATGCAAGTTCGTGCTGAAGGCTCTCATAGTCCAGCGGTCCATAGGAATGCTAGTTGTTCAAGCAACACACAGTATTTGTTAGATTACCGGTGGGGGTGAAACATTCTAGCATTATTGATATTTAGCAATTAGCGTTAAGCCAGCTGTTAAGCACTGACTTTCCGCTACCTCTTGACATGGTTATGCATTCAGTTTTGAGACAGTTAAGGGGATTTCTGCAATGCAGAAGGGGGAGGGAGAGGGAAGGCAAGAGCCACTCCTGCAACCAGCTTCATTCACTATACAGGAAACTGGTGATATTCAGAAGGCCCAATTCTTGGATTTGGGGGTTCCCTTTCCTTCTTCAGCTATCCCCTCCCCACAAGGCTTCACTGCTGCTCCCCTGAACTTGGAGCTGCAGATGGGCAGAGGGTCATTCCCACAATAGCATGGCGATCCTAGCCATGGGTCTGTTTGACCTGGCCAAAAATCGTAGTCCCCCCCCCCCGATATCAAAACTGTGCCCCCAAAGTACTCTGTGAGACCTAAGAGCTAGAGCCAGAAGAGGAAGATTGCATAAGCGTCTCTCCAAGCCATCCGGTATAGTTAGGAGAAAAACTAAATGGGAAGCTTCCTTCCTTTTCCTAGCAATTCTTAATGCAGCCAACAGAGCACCAGACACTGCAAAAGGCAGTTCACAACTGCTACCCTGAGCACCAAGAATAACAAAGGGGTTTCTTCGCATCTATACTGCAAACATGTACACGGAGACTTGACTATACAGTGGTACCCCGGTTGTCGAACGTAACCTGTTCCGGAAGACCGTTCGACTTCCAAAACGTTCAACAACTGAGGTGGCAAAAGGTGGTCGGCAAATTCAACTGAGAAAATTGAGAAACACGCCTTGGAAGCCGTTTGACTTCTGAGGCGCGTTTGAAAACAGAAGCATTCACTTTTGGGTTTTCGGTATTTGAAAATTGAAATGTTCGGCTTCTGAGACACTCGAAAACCAAGGTACCACTATGCTTTGGAAGGCATGCCAATGTTGCTCCATAGTTAATTGGCCCAAGATGACTTTAGATCTTTCTATAACTGACGGCCTTGCTTGAGGCTGGCTTGAATATACTAAACCAAACCAAGGCATGCTAAAAGCAACAGCAAAACCTAGTGTGCTACCAGGTGCCAAGTTACTAACAGAGTAGGCAAAATGGCAAAAACACAACATCTGGCACTAAGCTCCACTTATGGCAATTAGGTAAACTGAACTTGAACCATTAGAATTTACATATTGATGCAATACATGTCATTGATCGATCTTATTTTGGAAAAGGAGAAACCTAGTAAATACACAATACACACTAATAACCTGAAATACCTTTCCTACTTACCCGCTGATCACCACCTTCCCTGCGAGGATCAAGCTTCTTCGCAAAGTGCCTCAAATTATCGTAATTATGGAAATTGCACAAAGATACCAGTTCCTGCAATGGTCAGAACATCACATCATTCTATGTGCAAACCAGCAAAGTTTGTAAGTTTCGATGCTTTACACATCTAGTCTGTTATTATCCTATTATATAGCTAACTGGAGCCCATTAGAAAAGCTCACTGGTTGATACGAATTTTGCAATAATAATAATAATAATCTAAAATTGGTTTGAAATATTGTTGAAACTTATGGATTCGTAGGTGAATAGAAAGCAAAGAACCAGCATTTTTGGCAGCCCACAATATGTGAACTGCTAGACTGAAACAGATAAGTGCATTTTGGAAGACTTTTTTCACCTGCAAAATGTACTCCCTCTTTGCAGTTGCAGCTTAAAGCTGTAGATTTAGCATCATTTTTGTTTAACAGGTAGCCTCAGTGACATCATGATATAACACTGACCAGTTGCTTTTTGGAGCTCTATTATTCAGAAGACAGCTGGCTCTTTTCTCAAAATACCATGCAAATTGCAGCCAAATGGGGCAAGGAACAAACAGTAACAAGCCAGCTGAGATGGGTGTGGCTCCGTCAAACATCTGGGAGCCCTGAATATCTTTCACATTGAAATAATGGACACGCCTTAGTATCTGGCTCAGCCCTAACATGAAACACCGTTCATGCTGGAATCTGAAAAAGGGTTTTCCAGATGACATTCTCCTGTTAGATTATGACGAAATTAGAGGTGGGCATGAAAACGGAAAATCTACTAAAATTCTGATGCAAACCAAAGAAAATATGCAAGTGAGAAGGCTTGCTGCTTACGTGACAAAAGTGTATCCCCTTAACGCTGTTGCCCATCTTGTCCAGAGGAGGGGACCAGCACATCATGCCCATAACATTGGGAACAACCAGCAGAATGCCACCAGCAACCCCTGATTTTGCAGGAAGACCAACCTAGATTAAAGGGAACAACGGGAAGGCTTACATTTAAGGATTTAAAATATATTTAAAATTTAAGGACTTAAAAGATATCAGAACTTAAATATTTGGTGGCCATCCATAACTGAAGTAGTCCTAAAGACAGCTTTTCAGGATCGTCTTATTGGTGTCAACTCACGTATTATTTAGTTGGTGCACTCATACAGGTAAGCTCGGAGTTTGCCATTATCACAGACACAACTTGGGCCTCCAAAAGACAAAGTGCCTTTGACTAGCTGCAGCTGTGACCACTGCTGGATAGGGACAGTATTACTATGGTGACCTAGGCTGCCATAACCTCCTGGTTGAGCTACTGCGGTGTGTTGTTACATGTGAAACAGTCTCCAAAGACTGACTGGAAGCTTCAATTCAGAACATCAACTAGAACAGTTCATTAAGACCACGATCACACCTGCTTTTAAAAGAATTTCATGATAGAATTGGACCCTGAAACAAACAGGCAAAGTCCTAAACAGTTTGAGATTCATTATCAGTGTCCCCATACTCTAATTCCAACGTCCTTGTCAGAGTGTGCCTGCCATCAGAATGGAAGCAGCTGTCAACCAGGTATGTAATGACCTCCCCATGGCTGTTTGCTTGGTGTCAACTTCGCTAAACTTTTTGTTCTCACCTACTTATTTTATTTATTTAAATAACCTTCTGCTGGGTTATGTATGTATGTATGTATTTATTTATTTGCTATTTGAACTACAGCTTTTACTGTTAGCTTTGTTTACGCGGGTGGCGCTGTGGGTAAAACCTCAGTGCTTAGGACTTGCCGATTGTATGGTCGGCGGCTCAAATCCCCGCGGCGGGGTGAGCTCCAGTCTTTCGGTCCCAGCTCCTGCCCAGCTAGCAGTTGGAAAGCACCCCTAAGTGCAAGTAGATAAATAGGTACCGCTTTATAGCAGGAAGGTAAACGGCGTTTCCGTGTGCTGCGCTGGTGCTGGCTCGCCAGAGCAGCTTCGTCACGCTGGCCACGTGACCCGGAAGTGTCTCTGGACAGCGCTGGCCCCCGGCCTCTTAAGTGAGATGGGCGCACAACCCTAGAGTCGGACACGACTGGCCCGTACGGGCAGGGGTACATTTACCTTTACCTTTACTTGTTTTACTGAGCTGTATTTTCAACTTTGTGTCTTGTCACTTTATATTGTTATGAATTGAATCAGTTTTGATGGAAGGCAGCATATAAACATTTTAGATAAAATAACATTAAGTAAAAGCTTGAAATTGCTACTTTAGAGAGTGAATGATACCGCTTAGCCCAAATGTTTCCTATTGGCGCATCTACTAAATGCTAGTTTGAAAATGCTACTTACGTGGAAGGCAAACTGTCCTGAGAAGTCATACATGCCACAGGAGTGCATTAAACTTAGAGTGTTCCGAACGGCTTCTGGGCTCAGTACCCTCTCACCAGTTATTGGGCAAAACCCTCCATTAGCCAATGTTGCTGCCATTACACTGGCCGATTCGCAAGTCACTTCTATGGAACACAGCTTAAGAAAGGTGGGGAGTGAGAGTAGGAACAGTTACAAACTATTACACACAAGTGGTATACTGCGCAAGTAAACAGATTAAAAGACTGCCTTACAAAAACTGGATCTAGCTATAGACTACAGCATCTGGAATGAGCTGTCAGAAATTTAGGGAGGAAAGCCAAAGAGCTGTGCGCCTTTCATTCCATTTGTCTGCAGTCGGCGCTTCCACGGGATGATGCTGCAGCGACCCCCTTCTCCGCTTCTGGGTCCCTCTGCTGTGGAAGCGCCGACTGCAGGCAAACGGAATGGCAGGTGCACGGCTCTCTGGGCTCCCTGGCTCCAGCTGCCCGCCTGAGTTGCTGAGCCCGCCCCGCTCTGGGAAGGAGGCAGGATGGCAACGGAAGGAATGGGGAGCCCGGCTATGGCCACCAGGACGATCAATCCGAAGGAAGCAGTAGGCAAAGCACAGGGCTTGTGGCACACTGCTCTGGGCTGCAGGTGGCTCCCTCATTTGCCACCACCACCGGGCTGAGCTCCGCGCTCGCTCGCTCTTGAGCTGGTGCTTTGCGCCAGATGGGAGGAGGCGCACCTCTCGAGGCTGGGAGAGCAGAGCGTGCCGAGAGGCTGCAGCGAGGGAGCCTGGCATGCGTTGTGGGGAGAAAGCACTGAGTCCCTCTGCTGCTGCTGCCGCTGCACTGAGCAAGGGAAGACTGTGCCAACAAAACGGAAGTGCACACCCAGAGTACGTTCGCAATCTAAAAAATAATACGCAAACCAGAACACTCATTTCCGGTTTTGAAGTGTTCATAATCCAAAAAGTTCGTTGGCTAGGCTGTTTGTAACCTGAGGTACCACTGTAATAGGAATCCACTGCTAAGATAACTTACTCTAACTTCCATAGACTAAAGCTACAATAACAATTTAAAGATAGTTAGATAGCATCTGATATTGGGGTACAGCATTTTTATTGTCTTTATGAAATATGCAAAAGCAAGTTAGTATTGCAGTATAGTTAATTGTTGACCCCAGTTTTGAGATTTTTGCCAACCTTACACTTGCCCAATTGTTTCTGTAGCTTTTTACATTTCCCTTTCAGGATTATAGACATGAAGTTCAGATAATTACCTGGAAGTAGAAGTCCAATATGCCAACCATATCTGTGCCTTCTGGAAAACACTAGAAAAAATACCAGAGGATTTAGTACACAAGCTAGGCCATGAGGTTTCACAGATATGGAGGTGGTATCATGACATCACAGCCAAAAGCCATTTAGAGGTAGTTTTTGCTGACAGAACAGGCTGTTTGTGACTTCATATTTGTAGAGGAATAGGTACATCTGACAAGAATGTGGAAGTGCAAGTGACTTATATTTATTGCTGTTTATCAGATATGCAAGAGCCACTTGTGGAAAGGTGGCATACAAATAAACAACTCCGTTAAGTGTGCTTTCAGGCAGCAGAAACTGCTGCTTTACCTTGCATGCACCCTTTGGTGAATCAACATTATATCCTATACTCATTATGCATATAGTCACACCTTGGCTCCCCAACGCCTCTGTTTTGGAACGTTTCGGCTCCCAAACACCAAAAACCTGGAAATAACTGCTCCTGTTTTTGAACAATTTTTGGAAGCCGAATGGCTTCCGGCGAGTTTTTTTTCCTTTCTTTTTTCCTCCATTGACTTTAACGACTGCGCTTTGATCCTCGGTTGTCGAACGTTTCGGAAGTCGAGCTGTCTTCCGGAACAGATTACGTTTGACAACTGAGGTTTGACTGTATTTGAAAGGCTGTTCTGTGGTAGTTTGCTTAGTACATAGCCTGAAAAGTGAAGAAACTGGTGGCTATGTAATCCTCCAACATACCTTTTTCTCTTTCAGATAGTAACCTATTGCAAAGTTTCGATCTCCACTCTCTCTTTCAGACTGGAACCTAGTGTGAGGAAATATGAAAATACACCTTAAGTCCAGGACACTTATTAACAGTACTGAAAGCTTCTGACTAGGATACAACTTTTTTAAAAAAACCATAATATTCATTTAGCAAGACAGAATTAATTTCTGTATGCTGATGACGTTTTGTTAATGTTGATAGTTCTGCTACCTTCTTTAAGAGAGAGGCTTAAGTGGCTACATCAATGGTTGCCAACTCATGGGTGCCTCTCCCGTGGTGTCTGTGAGAGGTCTTTGTCTTTAATCCCTTAAAAAGCCACACTGAGCATAGTGATGGTTGGTGTACATGACTTTTTTCCACTGATGGGGAGGAGGGGGAGCACGCCTGTGCCTTTTTGTGGCCCTGTCTTTTTTTTTCTTTTCTTTTGGATGTGGCAGCCCCCAGGAAATTTAAAAAAATCCAAATGTGCCTGTCCACTGGCCCAAAAAATGTTAGCTACCTAATCTACAGGTTTAGCAAGACACAAGCTTAGTTCAAAAACAAATTAGTGTCATAGGGCATTACTAGCCAAAACAACAACAAAGGCTGCCTATTGAGCATTTCTCCATTGTCTGATTTGAATAAATTTTCAGTAAAACTGCAAATTATTAAATAAGGAAACTAGAAAGGGTTGTAAAATACAGTCAGTGCAAACCTAAACATGTCTATACAGAAGTAACTTGTACTAAGTGCAATGGGGCCCACTCCCAGGAAAGGGGAAGTTTTACAGATGCAACAAGCAATTCTTTAGGATTCCATGATTGTGTTTCATTGCATATATCGGATGAGCAAGGGAGTGGCAACCTGCAGTTCCCATATAATGTTGCTCAGTGGGTACAGCATGAGACTCTTAATCTCAGGGTTGTGGGTTTGAGTCCCATGTTGGGCAAAAGATTCTAGCATTGAGGGGGTTGGACTAAATGGCCCTCGTGTTCCTTTCCAACTCTGATCATGCACCTTTCTATGAACTTTGAAGCTAGGCCAGGCTTTAACTGGTACAGCAGGCTGCTTCCTGGCAAGCCATCAATGGATGTCAATTCTACCAGCACTCTAGAATCTGCACTGGCTTCATGTTGCTTTTGAAACACAGTTCAAGGTGCTACCTCCCTCCATAACTTTACAAAGCTATTAACAGTTCGGTTTGAGCATCTCCAAAGCAGTCTGTTCCTTGAGCCAGACCACATAACATCATGAGTCAAGTATAGACTGCAAAAGACACAGAGAAGCATTCACTCAGGGGTGGCTGAACTACAGCAATCCAGCTCTTTCTGTAGAAGATGCTCTAATGCCAAAACATCTTTCAGCAGCTTTTAAGATCTGTTTATTCTGGTTGACTTTTGTTGGCTGAAGCGAAGGCAATGAAGCAATGGAATTTTAGAATGTCCTCTTTTTTTCCAAGCATCCTGAGCGTATTTTAATCAGGATTTCATAATCTTATTTGCTAGTGGCAATGTCCTTCTGCTGTCCAGCGAACACTCCCTGTGCTTTCGCAAAATGTCCTGCTCGTGGCAAAAACTCTTTCTCCTTTCATCCTCAAAAATGCTTTCCCTCCTGGCACGTTGAGCTGCTGAGAAAAAGCACCAGCCGCTGCATCCAGCAAAACCTGATGGAAAAAGGAACAGTACTGCCTGCCTTTTTCATGGAGAAAAGGGGTGGTGGTGGTCTCTTTCCTTTTCTGCTCAGTTATTGCAGAGAGAACCTTCCACCCAACTCTGCAGCTGAAAAACCACCTATTCCCCTCCACAATAATATGGAAAGAACTAGTTTTTGTACTGCAGTTGGGCATGCCCTGCTACTGCTCCCCCCCCAAAAAAAAAACCCTAAAAAACGAAAAAGAAATATATTTTCTTCTCTCAAGAGAGCTTGGAAGAAGTGGAGTTTTGGAGGCGGCAACAGTAGTGAGGCACTGCTGGTGCTTTCCCCAAAAGCCAAACTTACAAAGGAGAAACTGCCTCCCTGGGCCTTTGCGGGAATCACATCTCCTTTTCCTTAAGTGATACAGGGCTCAGAAAAGGGAATGTTTGATGAGGACAAGCATAAATAATGCTCCATTTGAATAAACCAACACTTGTTTGAACTACAGTGGAACCTCGGTTTTCGAGGGTCTCCGAAGCCGAACATTTCCGTTTTCAGACACCGAAAACCCGGAAGCAATTGCTTTCGTTTTTGAACATGCCTTGGAAACTGAACGGCTTCCACTGAGGGTTTTTCAATTTTCTCCATTGAAATTGCCGACTGCCCATTGTGACTTGGTTTTTGAATGTTTCGGAAGTTGAACGGTCTTCTGGAACGGATTACGTTCGAAAACCGAGGTTCCAATGTACTTACTACCTAACGTATGGTAACAGAACTAAGTATAGACGTAAGAAGAAACTGGGTAAAGAGGAAATTTTTAAAACTAAAAAACATACTTACGTGGCATTACTAAACCCAACGTATTCATTTCCAGCCATCTTATTCATGAACTGCATCACCTATTAAAGAAGCATCACAATGTTTTCAGAATGTACAGTATCCCCATACGCCTAGGATTCAACATTCATTGGCCTGGTTCAGATGAAATATGAAACCTTGGTTTTGAATCACAAGAACTGTGATTCCACTTCTGGGTCTAGAAGATGCCACAGTTTACTATGTTATGTCCCATTGAGGGACTCAGGTTAATTTAACTGATTGTTTAATGAAACAAGGCAAGATCAAAGTAGGGTTTATTATCTGGCTTATTACAATAAACCATAGTGTAAAGTAACTACAGTTCTGGTCCAGTTTAGATGTAAACTGTGGTTATTTTAAACCAGGAAACAAATGCTTCCATTTCCTCCTTGGACTGAAAGATGAAAGGGCAGTGTGTGCCTCCAAGGACTGTCCCTATAATGCTGAACAATGGCTTTGCATTTTGTGAGAACTGGGCTGTTAAGCTGCACAAACAATACTTAGGTGTTTCAACGTTTTCGCTGTTTTCGCCAGTGTTAGAGGTATCGGTTGGTTGCTCGAGAACAATCAGGCAAAATGCCTCAATAGTCTGTTCTAAAGCTTTCTTATTGGTGATAAAAAACTTTAGAATGCAGAGAGCCTCTATTCCGTGTCTTGCTCATTCACTGGCAGAATCTGAGAGTGGGCGGTGCTTAAATCTTCCCCAGCAGAGTAGTTTCTTGACCCCCAGTCTGCGCCTCCCCTCTCTGCGCGGAAGCCTACTGCGCAAGGACGGCTTGGGTAAAGGAGGACCTCCCTCCTCCCCGCTTTGCTCAGGCAAGGTGTCCTTGCCTCCTCCGAGCCCTGCATCTCCTCTTCACTAGAGGCGTGGCTTCCTTCCTCCGCTGAGGAAGTGCTGCTTCCCACGATCTTTGGGGGCTCTCTGTAATCCATCCGGCTTTTCCCCTCTCGCCCCTGAGCTGATGGCAGTTCCCTGACAGCCAACTATTAAAGTTTATTGACGTTTGGGATGTTTTGGAACTGAAGTTCCTTCTTCAGCAGCAATGCAGACTTTCAGAAATTGAAAATAATACAAAAAGGAAAGAAACTGATTCTCGAAAGCACCAACTATGAAAAGTTTATCATAGCTTGGTGTGTTTCAGAACCCAAGTTCATTCTACAGGAGGAAGATTATGGCTTTTCTTTTCTTTTGCTTAAATTAGACTCTGAATGCCAGTTCACAGATTAGAAATGAAGGGGGAAAAGCAAATACAAAAATAAAATCTTACCCTGCAGTTTCAAACTCAACTATGGGAAATAATTTTTAAAAGGTTTGATGGTTCACTTACATAGTCAAATTTCTCAGCATTATTTGCTCCTTGCTGAAAGGAAAGAAGACATATTTACAAAGTTTGTTAATACAAGAGAAGTTTTAATTCTAATTTAACTTAGTTTAAAGAAAATAATTCATAATAATCTATAACTACTTAAATATTTAATATTAAACTATTGTTTTATTTATTAGTCTAAATACCTAAAGTTAGATTACTAAATTGTTTATATCAAACTTAAGAACACTACAGAAAGTTTCAATTTTTGAAAATTACTAAGGTGAGGAAAGAGAGATGAACACTGAATAAGGCTAGCTTTATTTTAAGTGCTCTACTCAATTATGAATTAGTGCCTTGGAAATTCACTTATAGTTTATTGTAATCAGTGGATACATTAACGTTCCATTCTTGTAGTCCAAGACTTTATTTTACATTATGCTGGATACTAGAATGTTCAGTGCTATTTTATTTAGGGGCCAGTGACGGTTGTACGTAAACTATTGAGTAGAAGATGAGTGTTACCACTGCTATAAGGGCAACTGCATGAAAAAGTCTAGCAATAACCAAAGAGCCCTGCTGGGAACTTCCATTTGTGCATCCCTTCCGCCACTTGTTAAGCTGCTGTCAAAACTGAGGAAATGACTCCAAAACAGCACAAACAGCAACTGGGGAAAGTATCAAGGATGCCCTGATGCACACATGGGAAATCCTGGGCGCTTGCATAAGCATCTTTACACCCCAGCCATTAATTCCAAAGTTTTATAGGTAAACATCTTACAGTATAACAGAAATTGCAGTAGCAGATATACTGTCCAAATGCAGTTCAAAAGATGCCTGGATTTTATTAACTGGCAAACATTTTAAAATGTCCAGTTAAGCATCAGTGGGACTCAAAGGACAGAGCACAATCCTTATGTTTCTCTCCCTCTACCTTGACACAGCCTCTATTTCAGCACTATACCCTTGCTTAGAAACTCAAGGAACTATATAAAGGCAATTGACACTGTTATGTTTTCATGCTTGCTATATGATATAGCAAGTGTAAAGCCTGCAATCATCAATGCCTGGGTGTATATATCTAGGAACCCTGGCCCAAGCTGTTACTCTGCGTAAATTATATTGGGGCAAAGAGAACTTGCTACCTCAAAAGGGAAGCCCTCTCTGTACAGATCTCCATTCACTCTACTCTGGGTTGTGGCCACAGAATCAAGTTCTTGCTACAGATACTTGATATGTGGATATTTAAAATGGGTATTTCCTTTTGTCAAAAAAAAGAACTTTTTTTTTTAAACTGTGCTGTCTTTTTCCATATGTAGTCTCTTATTTTCAAGAATATCCCTGGTTGCCAGCTCAAAATTTAAAAAATAAATACTATGGAAACACAGCTATAAACCGCTATGGAGGTAGGGTATTTTAAATGAGGCAGATTTACCATATTTGATGGGAATGCGGTGGTATAGGATAAAGGAGCATTGTCCTTATCCTGAACAACAGTCTAGCAACTGTATCTGTGTGTCCAAAGGACTAACTTGACAGGCAATTTCTAAGAGATTTGTTGTGAATACCATTTTACCAACAGACCGACTCCAGAACTAAATGTGGCTGGGAATCTATTGTTAAGCATCAGGATGGATGGATACATATTGCATAAGTTTATTTTTTTATTATTATAAATATACTTAATAAATTTTAAAAACAGACTGTCACAAATTAATAGGCATTACTTAATGCCTCAGAAACATCGGGTTAATATGTTATATAGTTCTGTTATCTAAAAGCACTACCTCAAATCAATCCAAAAAACATTACTTGAACTATGTTTAATATAGGGGAAAGAAAAAAAAAACCTGAATCCTGTATGTACCAGAATTCTACTCATGAAATGCATAAAGCCAGCCTCATTTCCCATTCTACAAGTGGATTAGGGTGTTGCAGATAATCTGTGAAGCCACACGCACCAGCTCATCTAGTGATGTGCAGTCATACACGTATGATCACCAGCTGAAAGAATACCACACTGTTGTGTCAAAAGTTATGCACCAATAAAGTAAAAATACTGCTACCCATAGTCAATGACTATTTAAGAAATACGCTAAAAAGGTTAAGCATTGTGTTGAAAGGCATTAGAAAAACAAGCTTTTAAAAAAGTGTAACTCCAAATCTGTTCAATGAAAAAATAATTAAAAGAAGAAATTACCAACTTCATTGAACTGTTGCAGTTGTCAAAATATTCCATAGATCCTAATGCTGTAAAATATGTAACAACATTTAAACCACAAAAACCTTTTAAATGCACAGTGAATGTTGCTTTGGGAAAGTGGGTCAGCATTAGTTACGGGATGCTGTACTGGTCATTGTCGTTAAGGTTAAAGCAGTTAAAAACTGAAACAAGTTTTGCATTTCTCCCCCATATTACAGGGTAAGGAGAAAGATGCTTAATGCCAAAAGTACAGAAAGGATTGGTTCTCTCCCCGCACCCGACCTTAACTGCAAAAAAACAAAGGAGCATCTTCATATGTTTGATACTATTAGCAGAGTAAACATAGCAAAACAATGGTGTCTGAGCAAACTTATTTCAGCATTTATCAAATTCAGGGTTTCCCTGCCTTTAGCTCCAAAAAAAACAACACCTGACACACACACAAAAACACTCTTTCACAGCACCTTCTAGATACCAGTTTAAGCACATTGATTAAAAAGTAAGCATCTTTAATAAGCAAAACCCTAAACTTGGATTTAGCTTGTACTGCATGAACTATTCGTTAAAATGGGACTCTTAATGCAGGTTCTTAACACTGCCAGTTTTTCCCATTTCTTTTACAGATTAAAGGAGGCAAAAGCTGTATAGGTAAAGTCAACCAGAAATGAGGCACCAAATATGTGAGAGTTGCTTTCCCCCCTGGCAATTTTGAAAATATTTTCCCCGGCAACTTTAAGATGGAACACAGAGCAGTTCTTTGTTTTCTCCAAATTTTATTTTGACTTCAGTCTAATTTTCCACTTTGTGGAGTCTCAAGTTTTATAGATATGAAGTTTTACAAGCAGTTCATCTGTCTACAAACGTACCATGCAATAACTTCACAAACATAATATATACATATACACACTTGCCGTGTGCATGCTTGAATGTATATTTATGTGTATATGCACACTTTTGTGTATATACAATGAACGTCTATGAACACAAAGTAGTTTTAGACTCAGACAATCCAATGACACACCATTCATGCAAGTTTTTAAAAGAACGTTTACATATCCATATTAAATTAGAGGATAGGCTCTCATTTTATTTATTTGTATTATAATTGCATCAGCATGCAATAGGATCTCAGCAATACTTAATAAAGGATTTTTCTTATATCTCTCAGTTTTGAGGTACTAGCTCACCATGTTTAATTCTGTGCTTAATACTGCTACTTGACTTTTATAATGCAAGCTTATGTGGTTCTTCCTCCAAAGGCTGATTATGCAACTATGTACTTGCAAGGAATAGCACCTGTGCAACAGAACTTACCCCACCTCCCTCTGCAACATCCCCAGGGTTGAAAGAATCCCCCAGAACAGATTATTTTTTTTGGGGGGGGTGTCAGAATACTTAAGATACTTAAGATATCCTGATCCAAAGTTCCAGAATTATTCAAATAAATATCTATAAACCACATGCTCACTGGAGTTGCGTGAAACCCATAAGTTCAATGTCAGGAAAATAACTATCAGCAAAATCAACACCATATGCATACAGGTTTCCCAAACAGTGGCACAGAAGAGAACTTTCAGTGTGCAAATTGGAAGTCACAGATAATTTGTCCCACTGATTTCAAAGGGTCTGCTCAAAATATGACTTGGTCTGGATCTAGCCTCTGATCAGGGATTGACTGAATGATTTGAGAGCATATCTAAACACAAACAAGATCAATTCTTGTACTATATTTATGGCTAGTATTAAATTTATGACTAGAATTTTAATATGTAAACTCAATTTGTAATTGTTGCTCACAAGTTACATTTAAACCTTCGAATGGACCATATTGTTTAATAATCTTTTGCTTTGTTTGTGTTTTACATCTGACCAGCACTTCTAGCCTAGCTTGAATTGGAACCTAGGAGACCCTGGATTAAGTAAGTCTCACCTCAGAAATGGACATACTGGGGAGCCTTGGTCAATTCACTCAGTGGGACTACTTCTATAAAATTGGAATAAAGGATTGTCAAGATGAAAGAGACAACCTCAAACAGCAGAAGTGTTGTATTAATTAATATTTTCATAAACAACAACAGCAATAATAATAATTTTTATTTATACCCCGCCCTCCCCAACCAAGGCCGGGCTCAGAGCGGCTTACAGACCATGCATTGGAAAACTAAGCAAGTTACTATTAATATTTTTTTCAGATATATATAAAATTTTGAAGAACCTACAGGAAAAGACAATTATCATGTCTGAGTAAGCAGGAGGGAGGGAAAGGGAAACGTGATCTATGTTTAAAGAAATAAATAGTGTGTCTGTACATATATCCATTTAGCTGCAGGATTACTAAACTGAGTAATCAGCTGAAACACAAAACAAAAGGCTGAATATATTCAGAAGCTATAGGGTATGAAGAGCAGAGTTGTCGTATAACATTTATAGGGATGAGCCTGCAAGAACTGCTAGCTTTCATTACATCTAGTACAACTTCTATGCAGATAGAGGTTAGTTCAGTTCTCAACCATTTTCATAAGTAAATGGGCTCCAACCTGAGACTTAGGTTGCCCTAGTCAGCTTAATCACTAGGAATATGTCCACACAAACATTACTTAACTCCATTTATTTCAATGGGTCTATTCCAGGTATTACTTTGTTGGCTCTCATGATTGCATTTATTATTTCATAGCTGAAGCTGAAGAAATGATTTATAAATGGTATTCCTTCCCCTCATTTTTAGATAAGATTGTTGGAATCCTTCCATTGATGGAGTCCATCCATTGACAAGCAAAATCCTTTATCAGTTCTGATACTGAATTGCTAAAGAGTTTCCTCTAAAGGTAAAGGTAAAGGTACCCCTGCCCATACGGGCCAGTCTTGACAGACTCTGGGGTTGTGCGCCCATCTCACTTAAGAGGCCAGGGGCCAGCGCTGTCCGGAGACACTTCCGGGTCACGTGGCCACCGTGACAAAGCTGCATCTGGCGAGCCAGCGCAGCACACGGAAACGCCGTTTACCTTCCCGCTAGTAAGCGGTCCCTATTTATCTACTTGCACCCGGGGGTGCTTTCGAACTGCTAGGTTGGCAGGCGCTGGGACAGAGCAACGGGAGCGCACCCCGCCGCGGGGATTCGAACCGCCAACCTTTCGATCGGCAAGCCCTAGGCGCTGAGGCTTTTACCCACAGCGCCACCCGCGTCCCTTCTAGAGTTTCCTCTAAGTGAATGCAAAAAAACCTTGAAGAATATTTTCTCTCCAAAACATAGTTTGACATCAGTTCTATTAGTTATCCTGATTCTTTCACTGTCTCTATATAAAAAATTAAACAAAAAGGGTCCGCTGGGTATATAAACCAACCTAGTCTATTTTCTGGGAGTTTATTCTGGATTGCAATAGACACTGCAAAACTTATCAAACATTAACTGAAAAAGTGACCACTACAAGCATTAGGACAAATATTTCAATAATGGAAAACCATGTTTTCTGAGGGGTTAATGGCTGGCAACTAGGGCTTACCTCCAACTGCTATGCTTATTAACTACAGCTAAAAATAATAATTACAAATACTGTTTCAAAATGTAAATCTAGAAACTGCAAAGACGTTCAGATACAGCAGTTTATTTAAGACTCGTGTATCTTTTAACTAGAGCTTGGGATTCCCACATAAGGGGATTTTTGTATTTAGAATTTAGGAAAAGAGAATAGCTTTCATTAATTAAATTGTGCACTTGCCAGGGGGCGGGGAAAGGTAGTAACACCAAACTGTAAAACTGTAACGTGTATGTATAAATTTCAATCATAGTAAGAACTGCGAGTGAGTGACCGAGGGAAGAATTCACCTCATGTTATGGTGGTGCACACTAGAAAATGGGTGAAAAGGAGCAATCATTGTTATTGAATTCTCCGCTCTAGATGACCTCTCTCTTGTAACAGTGGTCATGCGGTATGTTGCATGAGAATTAAAATCTTTTGAATTCTAATGCCAATCATTCACCTATGTCCTACATCACAGACTTGGAGCTGTAAATACACTATTATTCAGCAGGTTGACATAGCAAGCATCTCTCATTCATTAAGGCTTTTATGCACAGCTCCTGACATACGGCTGCCACTATGCAAGATCCAAAACTGTATAGTAGCACTTTGAGAAGCAACAGACCATAGTATGCGCAAGAACAAGAAACCTTACATCACTAAGAACAGCTTTCTTAGGCCGTATCAGAGATCTATTTAGCCCAGCAATCTCCCCAGTAGTGGCCAACAAAAACCCGGCACATCTTTACTGCACACTCAATACAGCTGCATCTAAGTACAGTACAAAGTGAGTTTAATTTTAATTGAGATGTTTATCACTGGCCCAATTTGTACATGACATCAAACCATAGTTTAAAACAAACTATGGCTTTATGTTAGCATGCTAGTGCTCAAACGGTTCCTGCAATGCTCCTATCCAACTCCCGCAGCTACGACATCACAGCCAAAGTAATTCAACGCCTGGCTTGTTGCACTCTTTGAACCCAGACCCTCAAAATCATGGCTTAATATCAGTGGTGGCCATTGACTGCTCTAGAAAATAACTTTACTTTCTCTTACGTACCATACTTTAGGAGTCAGTGACTAATATGCTTTAACCACTCAAGCTAAAGGAGCTTCTATAACTTTCCTTATATACAGGAAAGGACTTGGGTACAATTCAGCATTGTCTTGCCACTATATGTGTTATATGTTAATGGTTTCAAATGGCAGTAGGTTTAGAAAGGCATCATGAAAGGCAGTAGTAAACAAAATATGTTAACCAGTTAGAACTATTGCCCTATTCAATATACAATTGTGAAAAACAACATGTAATAAGGTACACATTTAAGAGACGCAACGAATGAATTCCCAAGGTTTTGCACCCTCTTCAACAAAACAGATTACATCTTTGGACTGTAGCTTTAAACAGCCATTTGCCTTGCCACTCTGTACTAGACCAGGCAGATAAATTTTAGTATTCTATGATCTTGAGCTAACAAATGCTCAGAATTCATGTATGAAGCTACTCTAATTCTATACATAGGCATTAGAAGTAGGTCTCATTGAAGACAGCAAGGCTTATTTCCAAGCAAACATACCATTAGCCTGTGGTTGTGAATGTTACTAAGTGTGAGCTTACAATTAACTCAGAATGATAGGGAAAATATTTCTAAATTAAAACCAAGTATTAAAAACCCAGTGCTGATTCCTAAGTTTTCATAGTCACTCAATTTTTATAAAATAGCTTCCCAGTAGATGTATCACAAAAAATGTCTTACAATCACTTTAAACAGATGATGCAATATGGTGATTTATGTCTGCTGGACATGCAAATATACTACATGCAAAATTTCAATGCAATCCAGTACTGGCTGCAAAAGTTGCTATAGTGTTCTTGTCATGATATCACGATTGCATGCAGTAAAAACTAAAACTGCAGAATATTACAACAGCCTGAAACCTACACTGTTGTGATAGAAAAACACATTTTAGACTAATTACAGTGGAACTTATTTCCAGGAAAGTTTGCACTTTGGATTTTACCCTACAGTACTTTTTAACAGGCTGTACTGTGGCAATAATTACAGTCAAGTATTTGATGTATTGTATATTGCTTATTCTAACCCACTGTCAAAATGAATTTCAAAGTTATTTAAACCTACAGAGAAAAGTTAAACATGAATAAATTTACCTGTCATACTTAAGGCCATTTTCCTTCACCTATAGCTATTAAAAATAAATGTTTTAAGCAGGATTTTATTTTATTTTATTCAATATAACGAAAAGCAGAAAATCATCAGCCAAGACTGAAGTAGCCTCTCATATCTAAAAGTCTGAAAACAAATTAATGGATGTTAAGATGTAATCAACAGCATAGGTTGTCCATTTTTAAGGCTACTAGGGGAGTGAAATGTTGATTAGCTTTCACTTATTTCTAGAGAGCCACTGCTTCCAGTATAAGTTTTTAATTCTTACAGATATCTCATCACACTAAATGAGCAATTAAGGCATATTAATGATGTAAACACCCAAAGTATGTTAATACTTGTAAATATAATGAACAATTCTGACATTCAAAATATACACTTGATGCAGAAACAATTTTTGTTTTAAATCCTCTAGAAGAGCATCACTGCAACAAAAGCTAAAATATGTAAGAAACAATTTAAACTGTATATTAAAACTGATGTACAAGTTCTCATTTAACAGACTTTAAAATGAGTTGCATGTTTCACAGAATCCATAAAATCTCAAGTAGAAGGTGTTATGCTTATCTAATATTCCTTCCATTTTAATATAATTCAGGCCACAAATCTAGAGAAGCATGTGTTACTCTGAAAAAAGTAGGAGCCCATCTTTAACCCAACCTATTTCAAACAGCAGTTTGGAATCCAGCAAATTTAAAGGAGGAGGGAGAAGAGAGAAATAACACACCAGGAGCATTTCCCCTTAAAATTATTTCGTACCATACCTCAGAACTGGTTTTTGAACATACAGGGTAGGGTTTAGTTTCAGAAAACTAACAAGGAAAATAGTTACTTTCACACATACCCCTCTAGATTCAAATATTTTTGCATATTTGCCCGCATGCTTGTGTGGACTACAAACTGCAATTCAAATTAAAATTTTCATTGTCCGTGCAATATCTAACATTGCACAACATAGCTTTCCACAAAAATGTTAATAATGCACTTCAGAAAATTTGTGTAAACATTTTACCTTGATCAAGGAAGTGATCACAATTGCTCCAGCATTCACCATAGGATTGTGAGGTTTGTCTGCAAAACAAAAGTTATTCAGTCATGTACATTCACTTCCCAAGGAATTAAATTAACAAAACATGTGTGAAAACCAGCACAATCTATTCTCTTCTCCATCAATCAACTTTCCACATGTAGTCAGGATTCCCTACTGCATAAGTGGACTAAATTCCAAACCAGAATGAAATGAAATAGACAGCTCTTACATGCCAGAGATAATGGCACATGCATTCACTTCATCTAAAAAGAAGTAACTCTGCACTGAGAAACAGTAAAAATAAACGTTTTCAATTAAACTAAATGAAGCAAACTTTTTTTAAAAAAATAATGATTAACATATACAAACTTATTAACATGGGGCTTTATTCACCTAATGAACCCTGTTCTAGTACTTCCACTTCTACAAAGGGCTCCCCCCCCAAAAAAAATAAGCTCAGTGGGAAGGGTCCAGGAGAACCCCCAGAATGCACTGGGAGAGATAATTCAGTCTGGCAAGCTGATATGCTTGCACAGACAGATTTGGAAATCTCAACATTGAATTAGTTTTGTTCTGTTTACTACACCCCATTTATGTTTCAGCTATAAATTCTACACGCAGAAAAGGGAGTTGTTACTGAACTAGAACATCTTGGCTACAGGGCCTAGTGGTGTAAGGGTATCCAATAAAATATGCTGTAAAATATATGCAAGGAGAAAACAGGTAAAAAAAAATAGTTCAGTCCTAAAAACAAATGTTAGTAATTTTTTTAAAAAGTCTTACGGTGAGGTGAAATTACCTCAGCTGTTTTCAACATTCAGCGATGATTATCCATACTGTTAAGATGACACTGTGATATAGGAAAACTAGTGGACTATATTTAGGATAGTCAATGAAAGTGCATGCGCTCTACTCCTAATGAAATATTGAGTTGGCACATAGCAGTAACTTTTAGACACAACAGTTGGCGCATCCTGCCTGTGGAAACAACTGCTGATACTCACACACTTGGAACTGTGCCAAGGACATTACAGTATCCTAGTTCTTATGTATTAAGAGCTTAGTAATCACCATCAAGAAGTTAATGGCCTGGAATTCAAGGCTAAATACACCTACAAGTGAACGAAGTTACTTATGCTCCTAGGCTAATGATTCCCACAGATGGGTCCAAAAAGAGCAAAGAGGGCAAAAAAGGAAATTAACAGACAGCCTATGGAACCAGCAGTCCTCTGGACCAAATTTCTTCTCCCCCCCCCCCCTTTCAAATCCTTTATTATTTTATTCACATAATATACATTCTTTACAACAAACAACTCCAAAATATAACCAAGCTTCTTTTTAATGTCTCAACAAAAAGTAGCATCAGTTACATCTCAGACTACCAAGGGGACTTTTCTATATCAGTATTTGTTGATGCTTAATTAAAGTTCTGTCTTTCAAACCTATATTCTCTGTTCAAAGTATAAACCAGCACAAATCCTTAACGTACAGAGCTGTTCAAATGCTCCACATTAATTGTTAAATTAAGAACTTTCCAGAGTCTCTACGACATCTGTGAGCATTAATAAAACTATATTAAAATACAAACAGAGCTAGACAGGCTAATTTTATGACTAAATATCTATCTTTTAGCAGTGGCTTTAAGTCAAAAATGTGTACTGTATTTCTAAATTACGAGCATTTCTTTTCAGATAAACAAACACATGAAATCTATTCCTCGGCAGAAAGATCACATGGTCTTCAACTGACATCTCTTAATAATCATTGTATTAAAAATTAATTTGGTGTCATGGCAACCGAGAGGTGTCTTCTCTCACCAAGCAAAGATACTGGGAGTATGCAGGTTTTTCACTAATAAACCCAGTCTTTCATTCCTCAGCTAGATGAGTCACCAGAATGTAATTTCACCTTTCAACATATTTAGTGACAGCTTATGCAAAAAGCCACACAGAGGGAGAGATCCAACATCACAGCAAAGGACGCAACTGTCCCCTCCCCAATTTGCCCCAACCCTCCAGAGCAAATTTGGGAAGCATGTGGGGTATTGCGGGGGGAAAGAGAAAAAAAGACAAGTTCTGTTCAGACAAGCAATGGTCGGTTGAACGGGTGGGGCGCCACAGTTAGGTATCACCCAGAAAAACATGCAATTTTAAAAAAAGATTTTTACTTAAGAGCAATTTATTAACTCTATCAACTGATGAACAACAAAGCAGCAGTCAACTCCCACCAACCACACCTTAAAACCCTAATGTCACATCCCATGCTGTTCTAAAGGGCCCCCTGCCCCCAGAAGAGGTCTTAGGGGTTTGCAGCGGGAAAGGGGGCAGTAAAGCCCTGTGGCATGGGCAAAGTTTGGCAGACTAATGTTCACATAAAGGATTTCTTTTCTCCACACAAAACATTCCCAAGTGCACCATTGGTACAAGGCGGTGTTTATAACCGCAGCACATGGGAGACCATATATAGTCAAGGATATCACATAAACTGACAGCACAATATACACAACTCCCACTGATGTTAGGTTACCAATAGTATTACTTTCTATAATGGAGAAGACAGACAAACAATGTCCCTCATTATCTTATCACCATAAATCAGAAGGAAGGAAGGGGTTTCACTCAACAACAGCAACGGCTAATCTTTTCCAGCCTACAGGTCACATTCACGTTGGCAATCTGCCACCCTTCCAAGGACTGCAGTGGTGAGCATGACCAAAGTATGTACAGATACATTTTCTCTTGTTCATGCAGTCATGCGCTCATACTAGCACGTATATGATCGCATGCACAGAAGCACACAGCCCTCTCACATAGCACTCTAATTCTGTCCCTCCCCCAACATGATAGGGCAGAGAGGAAATGCTGCCCTCTGCTCTTTCAAGACAGAGTTCCCTTTCCTGTCCTGGAGGGGAAAGCCTTGTGAATTTGAGCGCCAAAAGGTTCATTGAGATTGGAGAATCTTTCAAAGATGGTCACTACTTCTTGATACTGGATCTACTGACCAGAAATCTGCTGGTAGCCATAACCCTGAGCATGTACCTATGAATGACAACAGATCAGGCAGCTGCATGGGTGAGCTGCTAAGTATGCAAGCTTGGTTTTTCTGTAACACTGCTGCTTCACTTTGGGGTCACTAAGAATAGCAATGTCCAGGATGAGGAGATGCAAAGGGTAATAGTTGTCCCATCTGTATGAACTATAAGGCTGGCCCAGAAACCAGTGGGTTTACTTGGCATTAATCATGCCCGCAATTCTAGAGCAGGAGCGATTAACCCACACATTTGAAGAGAAGAGAAAGGTTAAGCATGTGGGGGGGGGGGCAATCATCACAGCACTGGACTGGATAGTGAAGTTCTTTATACCTTTTCTCTCACCCTGGTGCTACAATCCTTTCCCCACAACCCAACTCTGGTATGGAACACACCAAATGAGTATGTGGGACAATGCAAACACCACAATTTTCCCAGGAAAATATCTAGCTAAAGTATGCACTCAAGTTTCTTTGTTTTACACAGTCTGCTACCCAAGCACTCTGGCAAGCACATCTGAATATGCACAACATCTTCTTATTCACTCTCCTTAAACCATAAAATGACATTAGTTGCAATTGTATCTAAAACCAGAAAAAAAGATCTGCCCAAGCAATTTCATAGAACAGGCAGAGGGAGGGGGCACTCCTGTTCATTCTTCCCTGGTACTCACTTCTCCATCTTCCTCCATTCCTCACTGTTTTTATAAGATAGAATATTGGGAAATGGCAAATACATATACAGCTAACTTACCATCTTCATTGAGGAACAATTTGTTGAATCTTAGTCCACTAGGCTCTTTACCAACATATCTGTGTACATAGTCCGTGCCAAGGTCATTAACAGCAATAGCATACTTCAAAGGCTTTACACAGGACTGAAGACAAAATGGAACTTTGGTATCTCCAACAGAATGCCTGAGAGACAAATAACATATTAGTAACTGTGCATTTCAACTTAAGGGGAAAATAAAATTGTCACACTAGGTTTGAGAAATAGCTATAATCCTGGGGAAAGGGACTTTTGAAGCGGGTTCTATTATTTTTGTTCCGTTTATATGATGCATCAGGCTGGAATATAGGTTTATAATTATTATCATCATTATTTCACTACTATCCTAGTTTGTTTGGGTGGGAAAGGTAAACAATTAAAATATATATGCAAAAATTGCCAGTTAAAATATTCAACTGTACAGTTCTTTAAGTGTTGCAACAATAATAATGAAGCATGAATAACTGGCTCCCCCTGGAACCTCTAAGAAAACAGTATTGGCTACAATACAGTATTGACTACAATTGGGCTGAGGGGAAGAGGAGGTTTTAACTTTCCCATTCTCACACATCAAGGGCGAGGGGAGAAGAAGAGCGTTTGTGTTTACCGTATATGGTTGTGGGTGGGGGACTATATGTCTGTTTATCCCACATCTCTAAGGAAAATCCTGCAAAAATACAGCAGCTACAATATGTGGCAGGGCACGTAAACAGGAAGGTTATAAATTGCACAGGCATTTCTTCCAAAGACAAGCCATAGTTTAACCTTGCCCTCAGCAGTTTCCTGTTCAGGCTTAAAAGATGAGCGCAAACCATAGTTTACAGACTTTGATGAAACAGCATCAGACGAAGAGCTACAATGCAAGAGTAGAGAGGGGGAGTATGAAATCTTTAACAATGAGAATCATAATAAGGTGTTGATGCAAGTTTTCATCTGTTTGACTCTATTGATATTTTAACTTAATGCAAGTTTCTTGCTGATTTATTTCATCTTTTTTGTAAACTGTTCTGAGGGTGTGTCCTTTTTAACAATCAGTGTAAAAAATCAAGAAATAAATACAGTGGTGCCCCGCAAGACGAATGCCTCGCAAGACGAAAAACCCGCTAGACGAAAGGGTTTTCCGTTTTTTGATGAGCTTCGCAAGACGATTTCCCCTATGGGCTTGCGAGTCTTGCGATTTTTTTCGCTCCCCCCCTTTTTCTAAGCCGCTAAGCCGCTAATAGCCTTTTAGTCGCTAAGCCGCTAAGTCTTTAATAGCCGCTAAGCCACTAATAGCCTTTTAGCCGCTAAGCTGCTAAGCCTTTAATAGCCGCTAAGCCGCTAATAGCCTTTTAGCCGCTAAGCCTTTAATAGCCGCTATGCCGCTAAACCGCTAATAGCGTTAATCCGCTAATCCGCTAATAGGGTTGCTTCGCAAGACGAAAAAACCGCTAGACAAAGAGACTCGCGGAACGGATTACTTTCGTCTTGCGAGGCACCACTGTAAATAACATCTGCAGGGGCCAGGGCACATAAAGCAGGGGTGGTTAACCAGTGGACCGCCACATGTTGTTGGATTTTAACTTCCATCAGCCTCAGCCAGCATAGTCAATGTTGCTGGGAGTTGTAGTCCAATGATTAGCTTCCCCCCAGACACATACCTGGAAGCGAACTGAGCTTTTATTTAGTCATGCCAGGGAGGTTTACTAAGCTTCATTTTTGTGGACTAACTCAGGAAACTGAGCTCTGAAGGCTGGAAACCTTTCCCTCAATTAGATCCTATGGCCTGGCCTCAAGCCAGAAAAACAACTATTTGGGGCTTCCTGCACTTCCCTGTGAGAAGTACTGTGTGTCCAGTATTTTAATTAAAAGATTAAAAACAAATGTGAGACAACTGTTAAAAATCTGATATATAGTAATGAAAATGAAACCAAAATCAAAACTAAGTATATCATTTTAGTTCAACTCTGCTTTATCTGATTCTCAACACATCCTCAGAGGAAGTGTTACACTTAAAATGCGTCAAGACCTCGGTATTTTCATTGTTTGTAGATTTCTAACCTGTTGGCTTGGATCAGAGAAACAGGCAATTTCCTCATTATTTTCAAAGAGACTTGCATAAAAATCTCATAACCAGAACACATACACCAAAATGGTGTAGAATAAATTCCAAATATATATATTAGCTTCAATTGTACAAGCCACAACCTACCAAAGTCACATCTCTCATTGGTTTTAATAGTCAAGGATCTCACCTTAATTAGAGGCTAGCTATGAAGTAGCATTACTGTATAGATCAGGGGTTGGCAAGGTTTACCTTGCCTTGGCCGGTTCACTCCAGCAGAGATCCCTCCGTGGGCTCTCTGAGCAGGCGTGGCTGCTATTTCTGGTGTCTGTATTGACACAATTTCTGGTGTCTGTGCAGACACGATTTTTGACATCTGCATCTGCACAGACACAATTTTTGGCATCTGAGCATGCACAGACGCTATTTCCAGCACCGCACGGGGACTCGCTGAGCGGGCAGCTCAGTTTGGGGGCAGCTCGTGGGCCAGTTAAATGACACTTGTGGGCCACTTGTGGCCCATGGGCCTTAGGTTGCCTACCCCTGGTATAGATAATCTGGATAACTACCCACCCTCAAACGGAGCAAAACTGCAAAGTCTTAACACTACTTCAGAAATACGCTCAGAAAAGTGCTTAGGCAAACTGCTACTGATATGACTACCAAAAATTCTTCCATATATTGGGAAGAAACTAGAAAGCAGATCACATAGAATGCTAAGCCAAATCATGCTAAGCAAACATCAGTCCAGATAAGCCATGAGCTGTAACCAACGGTTGTTCTTTCTTGCTACTTGTGGTTTGTCTTCTTCATACAAATTGCAAGCCCAGGTTTAGACACAATGCAAACCCAAACCATCACTTATCAGCCAAAATCTTCTCTCCAAAAACCTGCTCATTTGTTCATTTGCGCTAAGCCATTGTTTAAAGAAATGTCACCCTAGATCTATACCGAATATGAGAATGTACTGAACAGAACATAAATAAAAAAGCAAACCCTACAGCTAGTGCGATAAAGAATACACACCATGGATTTTACAGAATTGCCTTGATGCAAATTTAGTTCCTCAAAGTTAGCGTACTGCTTCTATCACCTATAGCTGAAATTGGGACAGTTAAGATATTTAAGAATTGTACCTTACCTCTGTCCATCAACTGTACAAACAGAAACTGCCCACAAGTCAGGACTGAATTTAGCCAGTTGTGGAATATAGTCAGCAACCTATCCAAAATGAGATTAATAATGTCAATTTAAGAATATCACACTGCATTACTCCAAGTGTCTTGGAGGAAAAGTACAACTAAGGAAAAAATGCTAGAGAGATAAATAAAACTAAGTTCAAACCCAAACTCCCCCAAACAAGAAGTGTACAGGGAAGGTTCTTTGATCACAAACTTTCAAGGGTGTTTAATCACACAGCCTTTGACAGGAGCTTACTTGAATTAACACGTTTACCACAGGCCAAAATAATGTATCCATCAATTATTGTGCCAAACCAACAAAAGCTGCTTACAAATACTGTTGGCTTGGAGCCCATGACAAACTGTTGAATGATTTTATGCTGCTTGGGTGTTTTGTTTTGGTTTTTTTGTATCACTGCTATTTTTACAGCATGTTGTGTTTTAATTTGGAAGTGGTAGCAAATATACTTCTAAATGAAGAAAGACAACCAAAAATATCTAGAACTGAAAAGAAACAAGGAATTCACAACTTGCACTGATTCTGAAATCAGGAATTCCAGTGGCCACTCTTTACTCAAAGTATTCTTCAAGGCACATAAAGAGCAAAGGTTGGCCCATAAGGGGGAGGACCCCAGCTGGGCAATCTCTTTATTAGGACCAAAATATCTATACTAGTCACAAAATGCAACAAGCTTTTGCATTCTCTAGAGTTCTTCATCAGGCAAAATGTTTTCCAGCTTGCACTCCATGCTTTGTGAAACAACTCACCAGAAGAGCTCTGGGAAACTCAGAAGCTTGTCACATTTTTGTGACTTTTTGGTTGGTCCTAATAAAAGTATTGCCCAACTGCGGAATAAGGAGGGTTTTTTTTCTTAAAAGTACATGAAAACATACTAACACAACAAATATTTCATATGAACACTTACCGTTCCTCCAGATTGTGTTTTAGCATTTTCATACAGTTCATCAATGTGAGAAGTAAATGACACAAAATCTGGAATGACAAACTTTCGTCTGAAAGCCTGAGTAAGCAAGACAATATTGCTTTGGACACACCTATGAAACATGGAAAAAAAAATGAGTGAAAACCTCAATTATGCTCATTATCATACAGTACACGTGAAGGCCAAAGTAAGCTCACTCATACATGCTAGAGCAAAAGCAAGAGCTTAGTATACTAGACAGTATAGTGTTTTTCCATTACATGCCAAGTAAGAGTTCAAATGTCTAAATATTTATAGTTATTAAATTATGGAAGCTCCCCTCCCAGAACTAGTTGCTTTGAGGTGAGATCATCAGGACTGTGCTGCAGGGGTGGGGAACATTAAGTGCTCTCTTTACAGACCTGATCAGTCCACATTCCTGTAGCCGCCATTAAATTTTAAAAATTGAGACATGTTAATTGTAATCAAGCAGGAGTGGCCCTAATAACTTGGCTCCAAGGGACAAAGGTTATATGTTAATAAGGTAACATTATGGTACACGTATTTTAAAATCTTTTCATTCTTCAGCACATATTTCCACTACACTGCCAGCAAAATGAAGCAAATTTTGTCAAACTGTTTTTCTAGGAATATTGTTAGTTTGCCTCACTCAAGTTCCCCCCCTCCCATCACACTATTTTCATATCAATAAGCTGAATGTGGCAAATTTTAAGTTTTTGTTTTAGATTAATAAATAGGTATTTACTTTTTAAAGAGATCTTTATCAAGCATGACACCATCTGATGTTGTTTGAAGAGTCAATCTTAGCATATCCATGCATTCTTTCAGTCTTGGGTCAGATGTACGTAAACCTGTTGATTTCAGGGCCTGTAAAAAAGGAGTAAAGGAGTAGAACATTAGAAATATTTCCTGTTCTAAAAATTGACTCAGATAATATGCTATCCTGGTATCAAGCACCATCTGATCTCATTTTCCAACACAATGCAATTGACAGCTGACAGACACATTCAGAGTACCGGTAGTTCTGTTTTTCAATACCTTGCCATAAACACATTTAGAAGATTTATAACAGTGTACCCTCAGTTTTACTACAAGAGTAAGTAGATTATATCATAGACGGACATATTTAGAGAGTTAAATGTATGGAATGTTCATCTTTAATAACCATCCTATCAACACACTGAGTTGTTGTGAGGATAAAATGAGGAGGGGTACATCATATTTGCCACCATCAGCTCCTTGAAGGAAAGGTGAGGTAGAAATGTAATGAAGAATAAAAATGACTTTTAGCAACCTTGAGCCATGCACTGCTTTTCAAAAGTTACCAAATAAATATTAAACTGTGCTATTTACCATATAGTTTATTTAAAACAACAAAAAAGCTTACCGTGATGAATTTGTGAACTGGTATTTTTTCTTGCCCTTCTGCAATAGTATAGAACAGCAAATCCTCCAAACTAGGCAAAAGACCTTGCTTTATCTTACTGAGAAGAAACAATACATGGAAAGGGTGAGAAACAACAACAAAATTCTAGGCCACTGATACTCTTATCATTTCACCACTGAAACACATCTGACCACTATTTGGGTAATTATATGCCCACCTGCTAACACAAACATTCGACTGACAATTTTATTAAGTTATCATATCTAACTAGAAACAGGCATTTTACTGCTTTCATCAGCAACTTCTGTTGCTTAGTTTATTTTCATTTTACAGTATTACTTATATATTAAATGTCTATTCCACCCTTCCTCCCAAAGGATCCTAAGGTAGAAAAGTATGATTTCAAGCAAAGAAAATGTACATGTCAGAAAACTATAAAGTATAGCTGAATATAATGCATACTTTCCCCCATAATAATAGATTCTCTAACTATGAAAAGCTTAAAACAATGTGTGGAGCAGAACTAGGTATTCAGATATTTCCCTAGTGCAGAAGGGCTATGGTAAAACACATTATGAAACTGTAAATAAGTGTAACCCATTAATGTTTATTGTAAGCTTTATGTTTCATGTGGCATGTACAAGTCTCCTAAAATACGCACATACTTTGATTATAGTATGTTAAGAATGCTAGTGTTCAAAATTCAAAATATTAAGCATTAGTTTTGTGAAATATTATGTTTTTGAAAAAGTATATAGACTGCATATCATTCACAGCTGTTGCAGTTAAATCAAGCAGACTAGCCCAATATTTAGCTTTGAAAGTAACCCAGCCGAGAAAACAAACATGGCAAACGTTCAATTTTCATACAGAAAATACCTTAAATGGACTATTATTGTACAAAGCTTATCAGTTAAACTGCAGTATAAGCTTTTCCTCCCCCTATTTCCCAGGTCAATACTGTTATATAATGTTTGTTCAACCTAAGAGCAGTGTTTTAGCATCATTAAATACTTAGAAAAACACATATTCAGCATATGCCAAAAAGAGCTAAGATATAAAGTGGGCATGGTATTGTCACAGTTATCTTTACTATATGCAAGTGAATGTTTCTTATCTGCAAAGTTTAAACCTGGAAAATGCATAGAAAGCTAATTTGAAGGCAAAACGCGTTAAGAGTCACTGTGTTGCAAACATGGTGCTGCCCTTCAAATGCTTGGTACAAGACCATACAGTGAATTTGAAACCTGTTACTGAATCTCAGTTCTCCGTTTGCAAAATGGAAATGTTAGTGACCTAGTCATTATCCTAAAACCAATTCTGGACTGATCAGGTATGTTTGATTTATGTTTGGTAAACAAGTCAAGGGGAGGGGAAAGAAAATGCCATGATACTTTTAAACAGTGTTGGTAGCACCCAATCATGTCCCTTTCCACAGTTTTTTGATCCAGCGGAGGCTTCCATTAGCTACAAGGATAGAGGCCATTTTTTGTTGGGTCCCTCAGTAGCTCCCGGTACCCTTCCAATCTGGTCAAGAGGGTTGTGAGACTTTTCGTAATAGCCTGGCAATTAGCATATGGGGGTGCAGGAAAGGGTGGGGGGACATGCAAAAATATCACCTTCCACCTTTTAGCTCACAAAGTCATGGTAGATCACGGTCTTTCAACAGTGAGGAGACTCAACTGGATACAACAGACTTCTCCCGCAGCAGCTAAAAGAAATTTCTCATTGGTGGGAGCGTCACTATATTATCAAGTATCATAGCACATTCAAAATGTTGTGTGGACGTTTTTTTACCAGGATACGTCTAAGTCTTTTAACAGTATAAACTTCCATTCTACTTTTTAGATTTTATGGGGGGAGGCAGGGAATAATGACAACTGTATTCATTTTATCATGCGTTATAATCAGCTGAAAATGAAAATCACAAGTTTCATTTTCGATTCCACAAGTTTGGAATGGGTACTAAACCAATCAAATTACTCAGTCTTAGCTGATTATGTTACTAATTACATTTTTAGAAATGTACAATTCAGTTAAATTACTTTTTCCTTTGCATATTTTCCAATCTCCAGATTACTTCCCACAAGGGCATTCTTAGAGTGAAGCAGGAGAAAGCCTCGCTCTTTTTAATAGTCAAAACTATAACGAGAACAGTAGTCTCTTTCTTCCAAAATGTCATTCAGTGCAATCACATACTCAGTCAAGTCACATACTTCTTTCATTTTATATGCACTAACTACATAACCTATAAACTTCTATGTTTTGTACTACAGCTTAGTCCCCAAAAGTTTTGGTTCCCAAACGCAGCAAAGTGACTGTTCTGGTTTGCGAACTATTTTTGGTAGCCGAACATCCGAAGGGGCTTCCACAGCCTCCTGCAGCCAATCAGAAGCCGCACTTTGGTTTCCGAACATTTTGGAAGTCAAACGGACTTCCAGAATGGATTCTGTTCGACTTCCAAGGTACGACTGTACATAGTTTTCTATGTATGAGTTTGTTGCTCTCATTAGGCAAATAAATGAAAAGATGCAATTTAAGACATAAGAAAAGCTCCGTATAAGAATCTGTTTTTCAGAAACTTAAAAGGATATAGGCAGCGACCATTTTAGGCGCATCCAATTGACAAGTGATCGCCAACGCACAGGTCTTTATAGATCCAAAGAGGGCAGACTGGGGGCAGAATGGGGGCATGGCATAACAGGGTGGGGTGCATTTATGCACACTCCGCCAATGAGCATATAATACGATCGCCACCTGGTATTATAAAGCCTTCTAATGTAAAAGCACGGCATAAAGCAGGAGTGGCTAGGCTTTTTTTCCATGAAGGATCTCACAGAAATAAAAAAGATCCCGTCTATGTCATGTCTAACCCATGACTAAGCAGAGATGACTCATCGGATGGACCCTGATGACATAAAGCTGAAAAAACTTAATGGGGCCTCCTGACTCCAGTGCTAACACAGGCACAAACCCACAAACATCTCTGGAGAAGTGACCTCACACCAATCTGAAGCTGTGGATGAGTTTGCCAACACACCTGGGACAACTTTCTCACTTGTGGAATCAAAAGGGGAGGTCAAACTACTTCCGGTCCCTGGGAATGCTGGCTTCCAATGGTACAGCCACCAGCAGCCACCCACTAAGGGGCTGTGTGACTCAAGGGCCATATGAACCAGGCCCCTCAAAAATGAAAGCAGAGACTGCTGAAGACTGAGTTAAGAAGCTGCAGCTGCTGCCTACCCTGGCTGACCCTGTGCTACAGACCCCTACCTCTTGAAAATCTGCCTACCTTTGGACTGCTCTGCTGTGTTTGCCCTCGGCTTTACTTCATGACCTTGGTGTTGGACCGGACCACACCTTATCAGACTGCCTCACCATGCTTGTCCTCAGCTTCTCCTTAAGACACCGTGTTTCTGGATTGCCCTGATATAGAACTGCTACCGCAACTCTTCAGATTTTGGTCATTTCCCTATCCTGGGGATCTAACTTCCCCACCCAAATACAGTGGTACCTTGGTTTGCATACGTTTTGAATTACAAACACATCAAACCTGGAAGTGTGTGTCCCAGTTTCCAACCTTTTTTTGGATTACAACCTTTTTTTATTACAAACAATATTTTTTGGAGGCCCCATTGACGAAAGCGTGCCTTGGGTTGCAATCTGTTTTGGTTTACAAACGGACCTCCAGAACAGATTATGGTTGTAAACCAAGGTACCACTGTATAGTCTCTTTTAGATAGCGCTTTAACATATTTGGTAACAAAAAGTTACATTTTAAAACGGCATGCTTTTTTATATAGTACTAGACACATAAGTAGCACTCTATAAATGAACATTTAAGAAACAAACAAATCTGAAATGGTAACAATTACGAAGGCATACTGAAAACCTTTCGGGAGTCGAACGGACCCCCAGAACGGATTAAGTTCAAGAACCAAGGTTCCACTGTATGTAATTATATCTTCTCAAGCTAAATATATTTAGGAAATATCTATATATTTAATGCATGCTAAATTTTGTAGTTTAAGAATTTGCAGTGCATTTTTTTCTTTGAATTTACACAATGCACATGTATTGAATTCCTATGAAAATAGTTTAAAGTATTCCAATAACAATATTTTCCAATGAAAGTTTAAAAAACAAAGTACATTATGCAGTACAGGAAACTTTCCAGCTTTATTTTCCTACAGAAAAAAAAATATGTTTCATAAGCTGATTAGAAACAACAAATGGATGGACGTAACGAATGCCAATTGAATGCAGTATTTTAAAAAACTTAGAATTTTTAAAAATTCTAAAGTTTGGCATTATTATAATGGACTAGCTCTATGGCTTACTGGAACCATAAGGGATCCTAGAAAGAAGTTCATGACCACTTTGTTCCTCCATGGTATATTTTACTCCCACACCACACTAAGTTAAGTCAAAGGCTCATGGCAACTATGCACTGTAGTCAAAATTCCTACCCCAACCACTAATTTGCTACTTTTAGCTACTGGAAACACTTCTGAAGTATTTATGGATCAGGGAATAGGGATTCAACCTGTGCTGGATGGGGCAACACTCCCCTTGAAGACTCAGGTTCGAACTCTGGATGTACTTCTGGATTCTGCCCCAAACCTGGCCATTGTTAGAAACTCAGATATATAAGATAAATGCCAAATGGCTCCTTAAACCAAGGTTACAGTCACCAAATGGGATATCTAGCTGCCATTTTGGGGCAAGATGGCTCTGAAGTCTTATTTTTCAAATTATGGACTATCACTGATTATGGGTTAAGCATGTGACTAGTTCAAATGACAACCTTGAGCTAGGTTAAGAACTTTGAGAACTTTAACCTGGGACAGTCCACATACACAAGAAATGTGGCCAAGAAACTTTAAGGTGGTTATGCAATTAACTGCATGCAAAGGGCTAACTGTAATGCACGGACGTAATATTCAAAATAGTATCTGGAAGCATCTCACCAGGTTTAGTCTATTCAACAGCTTCATTGGTTACCTGATGTGGATAACAGCATGACATGCCAAGCCAAACTATGACTTATTGAGACCACACACACATGCAGGCTTCCAGAGAGATGCTAGCAGCTGCTTTTCTCCTCCTGGGTCCTTTTTGCTCCTGCGTCACACTGTGCTAAACTTTGGCTTAGCACGTAGCCTGAACTGGGAGTCATGGCTAAGCACTTTTCTCACTAACTGCAAGCTGCAGCAGAGACAGCTGTTTCCTTCTCCCATTCCATCACGCTGTATGTGTAGAAGGAGAACATATGAGGTGGGAAGCCTACTCTATATATGCAGGATCACACATTATTTAAAACTCTGTGTTCACTAGCAATAACACATGCAGAACAGGCTACTCACTTCCAGACTTTCTCCGACACATGGAGTTTATTGGGGCTGGGGTCAATGAAAACAGCCCTTCTTACCTCCACACAATTCTCACTGCAAAAGCAACTAATTTCAGCTACAAATCCCATGCTAAAGTATTTATATTCCACCATCAACAAATCCAAAAACTAATGAAGTTAATTGATTTTAGTGTTACTTAATTCCTTTTAAGTTGCAGAGCCTGGTGTCTTTGCAGAATGTCTGCTGAGAGTCTTTCTTTCATCATGAAACAAGGCAACGTATGTGTGGTTCCCAGGCAGTATCCCATCCAGGCACTAACCAGTTAAACTAGCTTAGCTTCTGCAGGGAAATAGCCTCATATCCTTTCAGGTCTGTAGTGGCATGAACTTGAACCATGGGCACCATACAACTGTCTGCTTACATTATTTTCCTGACCCCTGAAAGCTCCATATAGACCCCTGCTGGTTTCAAGGTATATAGTTGACAACAGTTATATGGTGATAGGAGGGACAAGCACTTTAACTTTTTACCCTCAAGCCATTTCCCCATTCAAAATCACCCTCTAGTTGCTTTTCCATGAAGAAGAAAAAAATACAACCTGCATATTTTCTCATGGTGGGATTCAAAAGTGAAAATATCTAGGGGGTGGGGATAAATAAGCAGCCCCTTCCTATGCCCATCCTCATAACTTCAAGGCTGCTTTTGGTTTTGAGTTGGGAGAAAACACAAACAACAATGCATAACTATTGTGGGCCTCAGTCTGAGAACTTTGCTTGATATTTCCATTGTTACTCCAGATGAAAGTGAGCAGTTTAGAAAATGGTACCAATGAATGTTTTAAAACAGTCTTTGCCAATCTGGTGCCTTTCAGATGTTTTCAACTATACCATGAGCCCAGGCCAGCAGGAGGGCACCAGCTTGGCAAAGACTGTTCTAAAGACTGCATACTACTCTACAGTACTATAATAGCTTCTGATCCACTTTTTTAAAGGGAATGTAAAATTATATTTCATGGAAATAAAAAAGACAAAAAAGTTTTTTACTTTAAATTTATTCAGCTAAGAGAACATATTTTACCCAGTGTGAGAGTAAGCCTTAATCTGAGTAACAATTATTTATAGCAGGCAGCTTTTGTTCACTTTTGACAATAATACACAGCAAATATGTAAAATGTGCTGCCCAACTAGCACTGTAGTACTAAAGTTAAGAGCAAGCACCAAGATTTCTGGTTTTGCATACTTTCCTCAAAGCCATAACTGACCCTTGTGTGCTCCAGAAACCAATGCAGTCTCTGGACATAAAACTTAAATTTTATTATCTTTTCATTAATCCTGCCCCATGCCTGCTATAATCTCAAAACAGTTTCATCTACATACCAGCCAATGATGCAAATGACAACAAACCGGTAGCTAGTTCTGATAGAGATATTGCACACTATCTTGGCCAAAGTTTTAAAGGTGATCTCTAGCACTGCCTACTACTTGTGTTAGCAAAACCAGCTTTTAAAATTAAATTATTTTACTTCCAACCTTGAGATACTAGCCAATACAAAATATTCTGTATGACCAATTGTCACTGGTCTAGGGGGAGAAAGTGAGAAAATTTGCATCAAACTTGATAATTCAATTTCTTCATGCAGCCAACATTATCTTTACTGAAAAAATAGTTATTTATCACAGTGCCTTCCTCGAGAGAAAAATAAAAAAACTTTTGTGGCATTTTAAGACTAACAATGCCATTCATTCTAAGATGTGTATCCACTTATTTCTTTTGCCAACATTGAAGGAATGACTAATTCAACTAGAATATTCTTCACAAACTATATGCAACTCAGATGTTTCATTGTTAAAGATAAATGTTTCATCTTACGCTATCTGTAACATTCAGTTCTTGAGGCTGGGAACTTGCAAGGGTCAAGAAAACTGATCCAAGAAGGGTAAAGGATGACACAGCAGCCAGTGTAGCATTTCAGGGACAAATTTCTCAGAATTTATCCCCTCTTGCGTTCTGTACAGTGATAAAGCTTTGCATTGGGCAGGGAGCAGTATAATACCGCTAATCGCTGCCTGATCAAATCTGAATAATACATTGCCAATGCTACATATAAGTGATCACTTTTATACACACATTCCTTCATCCAACACACCCAGCAGAACAGCAGTTCCCATTATTTTGTAAACATATGACAAAAGAAGCTGCCTTACACCAAAGCCAGGCCAATGCTCATCTAGCTCAGTACCAACTGTGGTCCTTCCAGGGTTTCTGGCAACTCTCTCTAGAAATGACAGAAAATGAAACCTGGGACTTTTTGCATGCAAAGTATGTGATCTGTCACCGGGCTACAACCCTTTCTCAAAGGGGAAGATGGTAGATCATGCTTCTATAGCTACAAACCTGAACACGCTTCTTAGACAGTAAGCTACACCAAATGTAATGGTGCTTACTTCCAAGTAAACATGCACAGGGTTGTGCTGTCAGTCACCTTGTGGCTGTAGCTAACAGGCTTTAACGCCACAACCAGCTACCACAAATGAACAGCATTTCTCATGTGGATTCATAGAATCAGATTTGGAAGGGACCCAGAGGGGTCATCTAGCCCAACCCCCTGCAATGCAAGAGTCTCAGCAGCAGTGTCTAATGTTTAAAATCAAAGGTGCCAGACTTCAAGCTTAACAGGAAGCCACCTGAGTGCCTGGCTTGGGGCCCCACTTCTTTGGAGTCCTTAGATGAGTGGAGCGCTCACCAAAATTTTATTCAGCAATGAGGAGGAGGAGCCAGCACATGCTTAGAGGCATCTTCCAACCACATGACTTGAAGTTTTCCGAAACCAAGCCCTTGGGTCAGGGCAGTGCATGCCCCAAAACCCAGGGAGTGTGAGAGTGGCTCCCAATTCCCGTGGGGAAACTAAACGTCAAGAGGAATATGGACCCGGGCAGGGGAAACTAAACTTATCCATACACACAAAGCAAAAGGACACATGCTTCAGCTTGGGTCTCACACTCCTAGAAAAACCTGTAGGTACCAATTTTGGAAGGTTTGAAGAACCTTAAGTGGTTAGATCCTTTTTAACTCAGTACATAACAACACCATGAAGATAAGGTATAGAGTTAACTATAACAACGTGCAGCACTATTTAGAAAATTAGGGAAACCTGGAGGGATTTTTGAGGGGGGAGGGCTGGAGAGCCCAAAGTTAAATAATTGCAGATTGGAAAATGCTGTTGTAACTTCTTCCCCCACCCTTCTCCCGGAAATACATAAATGAGAACTTGAGGGGGGGGTGGAAATAAAGATCCTAAGTGTGTGGGTAGAGAAACGCAGGACTGCCCCCATCCTGACGTGCAAGGCGGCGGGCGTCCTGTCACGTGTCAAAGGCAAGGAGGAAGCCGAGCAGCATCCTCCTCCCCGCGTGGCCGAAATATATAAATAAAAACTTAATTATTTTTTTTAAGATCCTAAGTGCGTGGGGAGGGGAACACGGGACTGCCCCATGCTGACGTGCAAGGCGGCGGGCGCTCTGTCACGTGTCAAAGGCAGGGAGGAAACCGAGGCACCTCCCTTACAGCCGGCTGGCATCCTCCTCCTCCCCGCGTGGCCTGGCATCCCCTCTCCGCCACCCGCACTCACTTGTCGCCCATGCCGCCGGCTTCGGCGCCGTGGCTGTTGTTGGCGCCGGGCTTCTCCGCCGAGGGCGCCGCCTGCTGCTGCTGCTGAGACGGCGGAGGGCCCTTTCCCGGCTCGTCCAGAATCCCCTCCGAGCGGGTGCATAAGGAGCGGGCGGCGCCGCTAGGCAGGCGGCAACCGGCGGCGGCGGGATGGAGCCGCCTCAGCAACGGGTGGCGGCAGCAGCCAGGCCCGCCAACGGCCGCTGCTCCGCTCTGGCTGAGCCTCAGCAGGTCCCTCAGCAGCGCGGGGCTCCGGAGCCGCATCATCCTCTCTCTCTGTCCCTTCAGCTGCCGAGCGGGAAGGAAAGTGCCTCAGCCAGCCGCCGACCCGACGTCCCAGCTTCTCTCACACGCCCCGGCGGGGCCCGCCTCAGGGCGCGCGCCGCCGATTGGGCGGCGGCCGCCGTCACCGCCCGACGCTGTCGGAGGCCATTGGCTCAGCCCGCTGCACGTCAATCCTCCGAAAGCGGCCCAAGGCCCGACGCCTCCCTCCCCACTTCAAGGGGAGGCTGGAAGATGTGGCGCACTTGGAGCTGGGCCTGCAGAGCGAGGAGGGGAAAGGAGGGAGCGGCGGGCTGTGAGGCGAGATAGCCGAAGTCGAGCCAACTCCGAGGCTGCTTCCAGCCGACTCTTCCAGCCCTCAGAGATTTCGGGGTGTTTCCCCTGCTCTCCCCCCCAAGCCACAAGTGTACAAGCACAACTAACACTTCTCACGTTGTAGTTTTGTTTCAATAAACGCCCTTGGGCCTGAGGGGAAGGGAAATATTCGATAGGATTCCTGGCTCTCCCCACTACCACCACCAGCAAATGATGGGAGAAAAAAATAGCTTTTCACGAGGGAATGGGGCAACAGGGGGTCAAACCAAGAAAACAGGAGAAGAGGACCTGACAGCTAGGTCACTAGTCCCTGGTGAGGCGGGCTGCAATCTCCCCACTTCCCAAACCGTTAGGGTTTTTTCCCCATAGCTGAGCGATTCCTAAACTCTTGGACGATTACTCCTCCCTCCACAAATTGACTATATTCCTGGGGCAGAGCCGTTTGTTACGAATGCACAATAACTGAGGTGGAGATTTTAAAAAGCAAGGGCAGCTGAAGTGGCTCCCTCCAAATATTGGGTTATATTAATATTGGGGTGCCCTTTCCAACTCTACAATTCGATTAAAGGTTGCGGGTTGCCGCAATCGGGACGCCACCACGCTGACTAGCCAGCCCCTTCGCAAAAAAGGATTTGTGGTGGCAGCAGCTTTCCAGAACTTGCACCCCAACAATACGTTAGTCCTGGATGATATGCTGGTTTTGAAGTAATGCAAAATAATAATAAAAAAACCGTTTTTTCGTCGGTGCATGCTTGGATTGGATTTCATTTGCATCCCAGAAACAGGGTAGACATCGCCCAAGACCGACGTATAATGTGTGTGAGAGAGAAAATCAGAGAAAAAAGAAGGATCAATAGCTTGCCCAGAGGCCTAAGTAGGAAGCTAAAGGGGGGGGGGTGTCGGCCAGCAGGACTAGTGGGCAGGAAAACTTGTGTGGGCAGGAGGCAGACGCTCGAAAGAGCACGTAGGATTCGCTTGTGATTAGATTCCTGGGCATTTTAGCCCAGATGTCTTATTGCAAGTTCAACGTCATCATGCTCGGTTTTCCCTCTTCATCCCTCAAGCTCAGACATATTTGGCATTCTCCCTTTTTTAAAAAAACAACTGGTTACAGTTTCCCTTTCTGGAAGTTTGCACAAACCCCAGGCGCTTTGGTCGAGTAACTGACACGAGCAGAAAGGGAAAAAAGGCAGAAGATCTCTGAACCCCGACGGCGTCGTTTTCTTATTAATATCTTATTTGAAAACGGAAGTTTTGAGTTAAGAAGGAGAGAGAGTTTGGATCGACGCCGATAGAGAGGGATACAAAAAGCCGGCGGGGGGGGGTGCATTTAAAAATGCATATGCATTTAAATACATACATTTAAGTGTGCATTTTAATACATATGCATTTAAAATGCATTTTGACGCACATGCATTTAAAAATGCATAGGCAGCAACATTTTGGAACCTTTCCAAATTTTCCGTGGGATTTCGCTAAAATAGACATGTTCTGTCCTGAAATGGAGAAGTGCCTTTCTCTTTTTCGTTAGCGAAAGGGAAACAGCCGGCCTCATGGCAATAAAATGACTGTTTAGCACCTTTTAGCAGGGCTTAGTATCAGAAACAGTTAAAGTGTTCCTGAAGGTGTTGATCTGAGCACGTATTACATATGTAGCACTTTCTATTCCTGACTCATTTAAAATGTGTTAGGAATGGAGGGAACAGCTGTAAGTAATGTCACGCTGTAGTTACCATGGATACAAGTTACTTTTCATGACATACCAAATGTGCTGCCACCTTCTGGGGGAAAGGAGGAACCCACATTTACATTCATAGCGATATATATATATATAGACACACAGCAGTAATTTATAACACAATCCTTAAGCAATTAGCAATTAATACATTTTGATCGAAATCTCTTCAACACCCAAACTACTGAAAATATGAGGGGTTTAAAAAAAGGGCTGTGGCAATTTATAGATGATCCAGGCATTTATAGATCTCTGAGGTCCATATTCTTTAAATACTGTATACAAAATCCTTCTCCTGACTATATACCATATGTCATCTCTCTCTAATTAGTATATCTCATATTTCATAGTTCTCTGGTTAGTATGGGAGTAGTTTAACAATTTGGGGGTATAGCTGATAGCCTGGTTTTGTAGTAGAAATGTAAAAATGTGGCATTTTAACGTCCTTCTAGTGATTAAGATGTCTTAGGCTATACATATTCCAGTTTTCAAGTATCTGATTTCTTTGGAAATCTCTACAACTTTATAGGGCTCACATATCTTTATATCTATACCACGATTCTGTGCCCTATAGCTTATGAACAGTAAATCCATCCTACTCTATGACTCCTCGCAAATTATCATTTGTTGATAGTTACATTTTTATCTCTATAGTGCAAAGGAAACTTTGCTAATTCCTTTGTAGAAAACCTTCTCTGGGAAGAAGGCAGCAGAGGGTTTTTTCCAGTTCAGGCAAATCCATCAACAAATGTTTGAGGGGAACTATAAATCAGCACATCAGACCTGCAGGACCAATATTATATAAGGAGCAGAAACTAAGGATTATCATGAAAGTGACATGGAATTTTTTTACAATGCTATTTTAAGCAGTTTGGCCGGTTGCATCACATTTAATGTAGAAAAATAGCTTTCTGAACAGAAAAGCTAAAGATTCGGACACATAAATCCTGATTTCTAGAAGCAAATCATATTCCTCTCAGGAAACTTGACTCTAACTGGATTCAGCACATACCGTATAAATGTGAATAAAGGCAGAATACCCACTGGGCACATAATACCAACACAAAAGGTTGTTTTCAGCTCTCCATACTGAAAATAATATGTATTTTATTCTGGCACCAATTACAATTATTTGTCATTCCAACTCAAATGGGAATAGTTCCTATTCAACAGATTCCCTGGAGGAGAAGGAACAGAAGTATAAACAGTAACTATGGTAATTTTAACCTAGAAAACATGTAAAAGGCAAACAGTTGGAGAACAGCGATCTGATAGCCAGATTGCAATATGATAGATGAAGGGAGAGATTAAGAGATCATATGATAAAACGAGGAAATTAGATATTATATAACATCATTTGTGCATTTTCCATTGCAAAATGATTTCACAGGCGCTAGACAAATGAAGGTTCTCTACCAGGGACAGCTGCAGATTTCCATGGGCCTGCAGAACTCCTGCCCCATCATGTTATGGGGTCTCCCCACTGTAAGTGGGTCCAGTTGTCTTCACACATCCTCCCAACTTCCTCCGTCCTTGACCCAGGAAGCTGCTGGGATGGGCCAGAGAACATTAAAGATTCATCATTTCAGCACTCTTTCCACAACAATTATCAGTCAGGTGGTTCTGGGAAGATCATACTAACACGTGAAGATGGTCCAAGATAACCCTAGCACACATCATTTCCCTCTGTAGTTGTTGTTGTTGTTGAAAACGTATTTACTGAAGTGTTTTTCGCATAAGTATAACAACTATACGGGACGCGGGTGGCACTGTGGGTAAAACCTCAGTGCCTAGGACTTGCAGATCGCATGGTCAGCGGTTCGAATCCCTGCGGCGGGGTGAGCTCCCGTCTTTCGGTCCCAGCTCCTGCCCACCTAGCAGTTCGAAAGCACCCTCAAGTGCAAGTAGATAAATAGGTACCTCTTTATAGCGGGAAGGTAAACGGCGTTTCCGTGTGCTGCGCTGGTGCTGGCTCGCCAGAGCAGCTTTGTCACGCTGGCCACGTGACCCGGAAGTGTCCTCGGATGATGCCGGCTCCCGGCCTTTAGAGTGAGATGAGCGCACAACCCTAGAGTCTGACAAGACTGGCCCATACAGGCAGGGGTACCTTTACCTTATAACAACCATAAGCAAAAGCAAAACACAGAAACGAAAGCACATATGGAAATCAGGAATTAAGTATGCTTCTTTCTTTTACAACTGGGTGCACGGAAGAAAAAGAAATTGATGTCCTCATTAGACAAGCCATTTGGTCTGAAGGACTGAAGGTACAAAACGACATGTTCCTTCTTGGTTTGTGAAAGGTATAAAACTCCAGTTTGCAGCAAAGGAGTCTTTTTTTATCCTTGCCGCTTGCCAGATGCTAGCATTGCGTTAGCTTTTTCGCTAGGGCTGTTTCCCACACCTTATTGTACCACCTGAGCCAGGTGAGCCCCTTTAGGTGCTCTCAATGTTGGGCTCTCAATGTTCTGGCTGCTACAAGGAGATATCCCACTTATTTCTATTAGTAGCACATTGATTTGGTCCTATATACAGATATAATTAGGGACGCGGGTGGCACTGTGGGTTAAACCACAGAGCCTAGGACTTGCCAATCAGAAGGTCGGTGGTTCGAATCCCCGTGACGGGGTGAGTTCCCATTGCTTGGTCCCTGCTCCTGCCAACCAGCAGTTTGAAAGCACATCAAAGTGCAAGTAGATAAATAGGTACCGCTCTGGCGGGAAGGTAAACGCCATTTCCGTGCGCTGCTCTGGTTCACCAGAAGAGGCTTAGTCATGCTGGCCACATGACCTGGAAGCTGCACGCTGGCTCCCTCGGCCAATAAAGCGAGATGAGCGCCGCAACCCCAGAGTCGGTCACGACTGGACCTAATGGTCAGGGGTCCCTTTACCTTTACCTTACAGATATAATAATGCTAATTCCGATGTTGCTACTATTCCAGAGTTTGCTTCTTCTTTAATTTCTATGAAACCCATCATTTCCACCTTCTTTTTCATCATCTTGATTTTCTTTTGTCTCCTGCTTTCATTTATTTGTT